CAGGTCTATCAGGGCAGAGCAGAACCTGCCTAACTTAATAACACTGGGTGAGGTGCCGTGCCATGAAAATAACATACCAGAATTTATATATATATATATATATATATATATATAAACATTTTGCTGTTGGAGTTGTGAGGTACATATTCCTGTATCCTTTATCACTACGGCCTTCTCAGCATTGTGGGGCACTCACAGAAATCTTTGCACATCTAACAGATACAGACTTTGTTACATCTAAATGACAACTGGCTTGTATGATGATTGTCACAAACACTCTTCTTATCTCACGTGTAGCCACTGTAAACACCAGCACGGACTCCGTACAAGCCTGCTCAGTCTATGATGCGGCAGTATCCTGGGAAATATCCCAGTGGGCTAGACTTGGCCTGGAGAACATTATTGTGGCGAAATTAACATCGCCACTTGTTCCTGGAGAGGACTACTTGCCAGCCTCTTGCCATGTGATTATGGTCCCTGCGAGGTTTGGCCCTTTAAATACAGTATTTGGGCATATTATATCTTACTAGGCTGCTACTGGCCCTTTAAGAACCATCTGGGGACATACTGTGACTTTTGGGAACAATGCCCCTTTAAGACTTTGTCCCCAGTGTCCCCAGACTGTTAATATACTGTGTTCCTGGCTTTCTCCCACCTGGTTCAGTAAATGTGGCTTACTGAACCAGGTACCACACAGGCGGACCACCCGGAAGTGGAAGTGTGCAGGCAATTTACCTCCCAGGCTGGGAGCCTGCTGTAGGTAAATTGCCGAACGCTGGGGGGCCCATGGGAAATAAACCGACCGCACAGCCTGATTCTCTGGAACTGTTTTGGGCATGAAAATGTGCCTGCGGTCGGTCATAAAGAACTCCCAGCTAACTTTTTATCTACTGGGGGGATTTGTATGATTTTTGGGTATGTTTATATTTAAAGTATGCTGATTCAGAATATGTTTTATTTGAATATGATGCATATTTTTAAAGTTACAATATATGTGTAAAAAGTTTATTTTTCCTGCCTGTGATAAATTACATTAACCCATTGTGTTCAGTAATTATATCACAGGCAGAGGGGAGGGATTTTATGTTGGGGCTGGGTGTGTTTTGCGGTTTTCCTATAAATGATTGTACTGTGTCCCACCCTGTGGGATGTCCCCTTGCATGGGGACATGCATAAAAGCCAGTGTGTGGTCATTAAAATCAGATCATCTTGTACCTTTCTTGAAGCCTTGGCTCATGTTTGGGGGATTGGAGAACTACACTTTGGGGATTGCTATAATCACTATACTCCCCAGGGTATGATCACTAAGCTCTGCAAAGAGCTTATTCCTGGTTCCTGCTCTTTGGGGAAAGAGAGGTTGACCCACTGGAATCGGGACCCTGGCCTTAGGTCCAGGGTGGGTGGAGACAGCGAGACCCCAGCGCAGCTGCATCGCTGGAAGTGGGGTCTGCAGTGCTGATGGTGTTGGTTGGATTGCTTGGAGTCCTCCGCATGCACTAGCAGCATCGATTGGCGGAGGTACTCAGTCGGAGTGCCAGCGGTCCGTCACAATTATTATTGGGCGTCACCAGCCCATGTAGAAACACACAAAATGCTGGGCAAGCAAAGGTGCTGTATAAATACCTGCGTCGTCATTCGTAGTACACTGACAACAGACACCCCAATGCACCTCCCGCTATTATAATCCAGAATAAAATGTTGTGAAGCTGCAGACCACAACCCGATTGTGCAAGAGGCTCTGGGGTTATTGCCCCCCTGCTACCTGTCAGCTCTCCCAGGCTAGAAGTTATACCCCCCGCAGCCGATAAAGGGTTAAAAATGTGTCACTTACCTAATTCCATGGCGATATCCCTCGATGCTGGGTCAGGCTCTGCCGATGTCAGCCGGCAGGGGAGGACCTAATGCGCATTAGGACTTCCCCATAGGAAAGCGTTGAGTCAGTGCTTTCCTATGGGGTTTTATCTGCAGCTGGATGTCCTAATGCAAAGTCTGACAACCAGTACTCTAAGGAACTCGAAAGAGCCTCCAGTGGCTCCAGAGCCTCTTACACGGCCACTAGAGGTGGAGTTAACCCTGCAAGGTTATTATTCTATTTTTTCAATAACTGCAATAATTACTGTTGCAGGGTAAAGGGCACAGGTACACTTAACCCAGAAAACTTCATTGAGATAAAGTGGTCTGGGTGCCTAGTGTCCCTTTTAACAATACAAAAGGAAACCCCTTGCATGCCAGTTGCTGTGGCAGTTAAGCCATCTCACCTTCTCAAAATATACACTGCAGTGGGCAACAAAATTGCCTTTTAGAGATGTATGAGAGCTGCAATCAAATGAATATAATAGAGCAGGGATAATTATAGGTGGACAATTTCTATGCCGGCCCAACACACTGGCCAGTTGTCTGCCGTCCTTCAGGGCATGCGGTAGTGGTTATGGTACTTAAAGTGTCCCTTTAATTTTAATAAAGAGATCCTGATGATGACTATATTTTGCTTTTTCCTATGCATGTTTTCTAAGCACTTCTTCACAAGGTTATTCACTAACATACACACACTGTCAGGTAAATAAAATAATGAAGTCAAAACCAGTGGACGTCATTCACTAAACTGCAAATTGCAAGAAATTAAAATCTGAATTGCAAAATTTGGGCAAAATTTACCCAAAATGAGAAGATTTTCCGCTATATTCCCAGATTGACTGTTTCTGCCTGAACTTGTACTAATTTATATTCACTGCATGATGTTAGAATTGGGAAAAATAAGTCTCTAATTCACATTAAATTCCCCCCAAAACAAATACTATTAAATAACCCCTGATAGTGCTTTGATTTCTTTATGTAATTGGATGGCTTTAAATAACTGCAGCCATTTGGTTGGGAGTGACTGGTTAACACTGGTTATTATTTATGGGTAATTGGTTGTCTGAGGCTGATAGGACTTGTAGTCCTTGCCTTTTTTTTTTTTTTCACTACACACCCTCTGTATGGAGTTTTAATGGTAAGCTATCAGGATCACCGAACTACAAGTCCCATGAGCTCTAGTCACACCACGGCTCACAGAGGATCATGGAAGTTGTAGTTTGCAGCGTCCCGGAAATGGCGTCACGCAACATCCGTCCTTCCACCCCCAAGATGGCGGCGCCCTGTGGAGTGTTAGAGGGACACTGAGCTGGGTATATATGCAGGTCTGGTGCTGTGTGTTATATAGTCCTGTAATCCATGTATTTACTCTACATATTGAAATTAGCTCCATGCAGGAAGCAGTGAACACTATACACATCCATCTACTCTATACAGCAGTTAAAGGGCATGAAATATTATTTTTGTATAGGTCATAGGTGCACACGTGTGTATTTTTACAACAATGTTACGTTATGTGTATTCAGGCCCTCTATATATTGCATCTAGGGTGGGCTGATCCACCATTTTCCTAGTCTTACAGGACCAATAAGGTCAAAAAGGGCCTCTTCATGTCAGTGAAGTGACCTGGGTGCAGTGGTCCTGTCACTATAACACTTTAAAGGACCACTCTAGGCACCCAGACCACTTCAGCTTAATGAAGTGGTCTGGGTGCCAGGTCCCTCTAGGGTTAACCCTTTTTTTAATAAACAGCAGTTTCAGAGAAACTATGCTTATAATAGGGTTAATCCAGCCTCTAGTGGCTGTCTCATTGACAGCCGCTAGAGGCGTTTGTGTGCTTCTCACTGTGAAAATCACAGTGAGAAGACGCCAGCGTCCATAGGAAAGCATTATGAATGCTTTCCTATGAGACTGGCTGAATGCGCGCGCAGCTCCTGCCGCGCATGCGCATTCAGCCGAAGAGGAGGAGGAGAGCTCCCCAGCCGGTGCTGGAAAAAAGTTAAGATTTAACCCTTTCCTCGTTATCGAGCCCGGCGGGAGGGGGTCCCTCGGGGCACTATAGTGCCAGGAAAACTAATGTTTTCCTGGCACTATAGTGGTCCCTTAAGGTAAAACATTGCCGTTTTGTAGAAATGACAGTGTTTACTGTGAAGGGTTGAACTCTCCTCTGATGGCCGTCACACTGACTGCTGATAGAGGGGCTTTAGCTGCACTGACCAAGTAAAACATGATGCGGAAACCGCCATAGGAGGGCATTGATGCAGTGCATTCTTCTTGCGAATCTTTGATGTGCGCATGGCACTCGCCGTGCATCATGTCCCCAATATTCCGCTATAATGGGGGCTCATGACACGAAAGCGTTAATGAATACAGGTTTGTATTCCTAATGCATTAGTGTTCCTTTAATCATGCTTGTTGATAGGCACTGCATGTGTGTAGAATTGAAATTCTGTAGGATTCCTCAATTGTTTGATAACTTGATTTACCTGCATTGTTTGAATTCCGCATACTGCACTTTGTATGTTTCTTTCAATATGCATAACTTAAATGTGCTCATGAAAACGTGGTGGATCTGCCAACCTGAAGTATTTCTGTGATAGTTATCTCTTTTATTTTTATGTGTGTATTTAATTATTTGATAGTCTCCATAATAAGACTAATGTGGTCCATGTTTATAATCATTATATTTTATTATTTGGAAAATAGAAATCCTATTTAATGCTGACACTTATTTACAAAACAAACACATTTTAATCTTTACATTCAACTTATTATAGCCCTAAAAGCAGATCTATCACTTTCAAGGTCTACACATATTTTGCAAGACCCCAAAGAAAACATCTTTGCTTAGGGTCCAGTGGCCATGGGGTGATGTGGAAGGTAGGTTGACCTACCTGAAATGGTTTCTCGCGGCCACCACATCATCTTCCTGATGCCTGAATTCATTTCCTGGTGGTTTGTCAGCTGTGAGCCGCGTCAGTACTGTACTCTCTTTTTTACCTTCCTTAAAAGTGGCAGCCTGGTCACACCTTTACGTATATTATGAATCTCTACATGATGTTTTGTGCTTTATATTATGTCAGGTTCAATAAGTATATGTACCTTTAACCATGTTTCTTTCCATCCCAGAATATAGATCTGTTAAGATGAGAAGTCTACGTTGTTTATTCCTAGCACGCCAGCTGTTTGTTAATGCAAAATGGCTGCATTCTACAGAACCACACAGGACCCAGGTGAGAATATGCACCTTTATAATCCACTCCCAATGAATGAATATATATATTATTATGGTCTTTCACACGCTTGTTTCATGGGACATTCTGATATAATATGAAATTATTAGTATTATTTGACCCTTGCCACTGTGTTCCATTCTGTTAGATAAACCCACCTGGCTTTCAGGATAATACAAAATCCAGTGGGACGAGTTAATATTTATTTTTATTTAAGTGGCTTGACAACCTGTGATCATTGGAGAGGTTCTCTGTTATGTCCCTTTGACCATCAGTACTAAGACTGCTCCAGTACTTTCTGAGGAGGAATCTCCTTTGCCCTCTAAAATACATCCATGCTGTGTGTACAGCTTGTGCATGCATTGAACCACAGGTGTTAAAGCAGAAATGGGTAATAAATTGAGATGAGAAGATCTCCTCCTTTCTTTCAATGTCCAGGCACCGGTAGGCATGCTTGGTGATCAGTTTCATGATTTTAGCTGCATTTGAAGAATGAGTGACTTAACTAAAGCTTGACAGCATTGTGCCCTCCGGAGAGAGAGAGACATTTATATGATATACATTTGAGAAGCTATATTGTTCTTGATAATGAGAAGAATTATATATTATGCCCATACTTTATCTATGCTCTTCTTTTTGTTCTAGGTGTGTCGTGCTCTGCATACACCTCCCTCAAGGCGCCCGCCCCAGACCAAATCACAAAGCTCTCTGATAACATACGAAGATGTGTTTGACCAGGAACAGCGGAGCAAAGCGTCGTTTGTTGAGGTGCTCGATCTGTTCTGCAACCGAGACATCCGGCGACGAGGTCACGTGGAGCTAATTGAAGCTGCTCTCAAGTGGATGCCAGAATTTGGAGTAGAGAAAGATCTAGAAGTCTACAACAAGCTCCTTGATGTGTTTCCTAAAGAGGTCTTTGTCCCTCAAAATTACATCCAGAGAATGTTCAATCACTATCCACGGCAGCAAGAATGCGCCATCAGAGTGCTGGAGCAGATGGAGAACTATGGTAATGCCCAAAAAAGCGTGTTTAGGAACGTGGAGTTGGTCATAGAAGAAAGTAAAGGAGTGAACTATTTGACTTTGCTGTTGTGTTTAGTTTTTCTGCTTGATTCTTGCAAAGGTTCAAAAATAATATCAGGAAGTATTACTTTACTGAGAAGGTAGTGGATGCATGGAGTAGCCTTCCAGCTGAAGTGGTAGAGGTTAACACAGTAAAGGAGTTTAAGCATGAGGCTATCCTAACTATATAAGATAAGGCCAGGGACTAATGAAAGTATTTAAAAAATTGGGCAGAATAGATGGGCCGGATGGTTCTTATCTGCCGTCACATTCTATATTTCTATGATGCCATTCCAATTTTAGGCCAAAACAACCATGTTTGAAAAATTAGAGTTGCACATTTCCTTTTTTAGTTTTACTGTTTTTACCCAAACTGAAAGTTTGCCTTGGCAATTCCCCATAATTTCCTCTTTACTTGATAGAATTCTTCTCTAAGCGTTGATTGAAGGATTAGCTATTCCTATGTAACATAACTATCAAGTGGAACATGGCACAGAATGCCGTAATAACCTATTTTTCTTCTCTGTAGGCATTACCCCTAACAGCCAGACTCGATTCCTTCTGCTGCAAATATTTGGAGAGCGCAGTCATCCCATGAGAAAATACCAGAGGTTAATGTACTGGTTTCCTCGGTTCAAGCATACTAATCCTTTCCCAGTTCCTGAAACATTAGCTGACCCTGTAGACCTATCAAAGGCTTGCCTCCAGCGTATAACAGCAGATAAAGATGCACGTACCACTGTGTATCAGGTGAGCACCGAGGACAGCATTTTATGAAGTACCTTCCAGCCTTGTGTAAAAGTTGACCATTTTGGTTTTTCTTCTTTCAGATGCCCTCCTCAGAAGAGATAGAGGATGGGGAAGGGCAGGAGAACACGTACATTGTTGGTATGTTCTTCTCTTTGACTCAATCATAAGGTTTGGGCTCATATTGTAGAAACTTAAAACAAAATAGAAGTTAGAAAAGCTGAAGAAGGAAATATTTTTCACGTAAGGATAAGTAAAACACGTGTGGGAAAAGTGTGCATGCGAACTTCTTGGATTTTAAGGTTCTCCTGCAGTAGTAGAAGGTTTTCAGTGATAGATATATGGTTGTTTTGAAATGGCCTTGTTACCAGGGATCTTAGCTTAGATATGCATAAATTAGAAGGGCCGTTTGCTAATTATTTGATGTCTAAATATCTTTCAATGTCTTCCTCTGTAATCTGAACCATAGAGAAGGTCAGCGAAAGACAAACGGCTGGAATTTAAATAGTCACCATGGAAACCAGTACTGCTAATTCCTCCACTTTGCGTCAGAACTGTTCTTTACACATCCCTTCTGTGATTATGCTGTTTACAGGTATCCAGTCTCCAGATCAAGTTGCCCTCCTTGCTGAACATGACACCACCATGCCTGTCTTGGTGGAAGGGCCTCATCCCTTGTGGCTAAGGAAGACCTGTGTGTATTATTATGTTCTGCGTGCTGACCCTTCAGCCATAAAGAAGGAGGTGAGTACGGTGCTTCCGGGTAGATGGGGCTATTCTCTGTGCTAATAGAAATCTAATCATAACCCCCTTACAGGTGGAGGTGGACCACGAGAGAAGTCTTTACTATCCTATTAGCCTAGATATAGACCTCGAAAGAGATTTTTCTGAAGAGAACACCTTTGATGTGGAGGAAGGTAAGCAATATATATCTACACTGTTGTCTATCGATAATAGTTCTGTTTAAGTTGTCCACATAGGGCTGAGCTCTCTCCTACCTGGAAGCTCTGATGATTGCTGCACAAAACCCATTTCACCAAACAGTGATTCATGCAGTGTAAACTGATAGCCCATGTGATAAATAGGACTGCATCCCGGGGATTAATTACTTAATATTTTTATATATTATTTGTATAATCCATTAAAAAATAGGTGCCTTTCTACTACTTAATCAAACTAATAAGATAGAAGCATGCAGTACATTTATTATGTGATTTGTATTGTGCAACGATCTAGTTCACCTTTGGACATATTTAACAAGTCACCAGCTTTTATTTCCAGATCCAGGGCAAAGCCCACGTGGACAAATTCAGCTTTCCAAGAGTAGCACACACGGATTGTTATCATACTGATAAGCGTTACAAACCTACATCCCGAATATCTGAACTTACCCGTCCACGTAGATTATTTATCTAACTGGAGCAAAGAATGCTCCGGAATCTGCCAGTCAGATACATTCCACTAGAAGCCAGGTAAAATGAGGATAACCGGAGGAAAAAACTGCATCCATAGATGGAAATACTTGCAGAACCCCAGAGAATACACTGAAAATAAGCTTTTAGTTCTTGGACAGGTAGTGCGGCATGATTTGAAATGCTTAAAGGGACACTATAGTCACCAATACAAGTTTAGCTTAATGAAGCAGTTTTGCTGGATAGATCATTCCCCTGCAGTCTCACTGCTCAATTCACTGCAATTTAGGAGTTAAATCACTTTTGTTTCTGTTTATGCAGCCCTAGTCACACCTCCTCTGACTGTGACTGACACAGCCTGCATGAAGGCAAAATGGTTTAATTTTCAATCAGATGTAACTCACTATGAATGTTTATATCTCCCGCTCTGTAAATTGAATTTTAACCCCTTCCCGACCCTGGATGTATCGGGTACGTCCGACAACAAACGGTCCTTAGGGACTGCGGACGTACCTAATAGGTCTGCAGCAAATTTGAGCACTGGAGCGCATCGTACAATACCCCCCCTCACTGCCGGGCACCCGAGTGATAGCTCCCCCCAGAGCAATCACTTCTGGGTTGCCCCACATGGTGCACGACAGTGTGGAGCAGAGCATCGGAAGCCATCAGCCAGGCTTCCGATGCACTGCCTGTACTGAGTGCTTCGAGGGGTTACAATAAAATAAATAATTTATTTTATTTATTTTTTTTTATTTTATTTTTTATTAATGCCTACCCTCCTTTCCTATCCCTCCCCATGTACATACTGATCGCCGTCATTCCCCCGCCGGCGATCGGTCTTCCTCTGAGGGGGACTGTCTGGGCTCTCCATAAAACCTGTACATCAGGTGTATTTTTATACTCTGGAGACTTCGTTGAAGACAAATATGAGTGTTTAAAACAGGAAAAATAATCACGACGAAATCACCAGTAAAAGTGCAGTTTTTGGGTAAAGAAAAGAGGAAGAAAACAAATATGAACGCTAACTTTCGCAAGCGTTTGTGGCTACTACAAAAGACTGCACATACCCCATTTTGAATACCCTGGGTTGTCTACTTTTACAAATGGTAAGCCATGATGGGGTTAATTTTCATTCCTGGGCTGCTATACGGTCTCAAAGGCAACATAGGCCCACCAAACCAATCTGGCAAATTTAAATGTGCAAACATGGAAAAGGGGAAAGCCCTACATTTGACCCCTGTAAGTTTGCAATAACCCATAAAACCTGAACATTGGGGGCACTGTTGTACTCGGGAGATATTGCTGAACACATATTGGGGTGTCTTTAAGCCCCCTGAGAACCAGACATACCTATACATGGGTGGTATCACTTTACTCAGGAGATGTTGCTGAACACATATTGGGGTGTTCTTTGTCAGTAACACATTACAGGAACTGAGAATCCATGCCTAAAGTACAATGTGAGAGAAAAAAAACACAAAGAAATGACTACCCAAAAGTTTTACAAAGACTGGTAGAATTAGTGCATGGAATATGTTAAAATACCACCATTTGAAATACCATAGGGTATCTAATTTTCAAAAATATTAGGTTTTATGGGGGTAAATTACATTGGCCGGCTTCAAAAATGTCCCAAATAGGACATGGGTGCATGATGACCAGCTCCAAGTTGGAAATACATATATATATATAATTATAAATAAAATGTAAAAAAAATATATAATTTTATTCTAACTGTATTTTGATATATATATATATATCAAAAGACACTTAGAATGAAATTATATATATCTATATATAAATAAAAATAATACGAAATATATCCATATACATAATTACATAAATAATTTCATAAATATAGACATTGACTTCAAATATATAAATATGTATATATTTAAATTCTATGTGCATATTTATGTAATATTTTTACATAATTAAGTAATTTGTTTTTATTGCAATTTGAGGGACCTGCCTGACAACCCAGGCCGAAAGTCCAGAGAATTGAATTTGCTAGCACTGTATTTTACCCTGTAACGTTCTACGACACCCTAAAACCTGTACATAGGGGGTACTGTTTTACTCGGAGACTTAGCTGAACACAAATATTAGTGTTTCAAAACAGTAAAACATATCACAGCGATGATATTGTCAGTGAAAGTTATGTTTTTTGCATTTTCCACACACAAACAGCACTTTCACTGATGATCTCATTGTTGTGATACGTTTTACTGTTTTGAAACACTCATATTTGTGTTCAGCGAAGTCTCCTGAATATAACAATACCCTCCATGTACAGGTTTTGTAGTGTTTTTGAATGTTACATGGTGTAATATAAGGGTTGCATTTCAGGTTTTTTTTCACATTGAAATTTGCCATATTGGTAATGTTGCCCAGGAATGAGAATTACCCCCATGATCGCATACCATTGGCAAAAGAAGACAACCCAAGGTATTGCAAATGGGGCATGTTCAGTCTTTTTTAGTAGCCACTTAGTCACAAACACTGGCCAAAGTTAGCATTCATAATAGTTTTTTTGCATTTTTAACACACAAACAAATGTAAATGCTAACTTTGGCCAGTGTTTGTGACTAAGTGGCTACTACAAAAGACTGGACCTACCCCATATTGAATACCCTGGGTTGTCTACTTTAAAACAATATGTAAATGTGAGGTGTAATTCAGAGATTTATGACAGATAAAAGTGTTACAATGTCACTATTGATACATCCTACTTGTACTTATAGCCCTATAACCTGCAAAACAAAAAAGCTAAGAACATGTTAACATTGGGTATTTCTAAACTCAGGACAAAATTTAGAAACTATTTAGCGTGGGTGTTTTTGGCGGTTGTAGGTGCGTAACAGATTTTGGGGGCCAAAGTTAGAAAAAGTGTATTTTTAAAAAACAATTTCATCATATTTTATCATTTTGTTTATAGTAAATTATATGATATGATTAAAATAATGGTATCTTTAGAAAGAGTATTTACTGGCGCAAAAAACGGTATATAATATGTGTGGGTACAGTAAATGAGTAAGAGGAAAATTACAGCTAACACAAACACAGCAGAAATGTAAAAACAGCCCTGGTTCCAAACGGAAAAGAAAATTGAAAAAAGGTCACTAAGGGGTTAACGGTGCAACTGGATGTAGGACTGCAAAGGATGAGGCAGACTGAATGTTATGGGAGACAGCTCAAATGTATGGGGAAGAGAGGGGAAGGAGTACACTGAGAGGAGTGTTTATTATACAATGAATTATAGAGAATTGCTGACTGAGTTGCAAGTTGGTTGAAGAAGTTGTCCTGCTTGGCCATTTTCTGTGATTTTGTGAATGCATCGCCAACAAGGGAAAGAAAGCAATAATATCATTTTAAAGGAGAAGGGAACTAAAATTATAGGAGGAATACTGTGATTGAAATGGAGGCAGGGATGAGGAGTTTAAATACAGGAATGTGTACTGCCCAGCCATCTTTCATTTAGTTTATCCAGTTGCTTTAAAGCTTTATTCTCTAAATATAGAATTGCAAAATTTAGTTAAAAAATTGCTGATTTAGAAAAATTCTCCAAAGGCAGCAAAGTCTCATCTCATCTCGATTATTTTAGCCTAAATTCTGCAATTCATTTTTCCAAATAGACTTTGATTATTTTACAATCTCACGAGAATAGTACATAAACATTGTTTAGAGGGAATCCGTAGGTCCTGTTAGAAAGCTGTCCTGTGAAGTCTGCAGGGCGATGATCTCATTGTCTGTCTCTCGTTCCTCCCTCTGGTTATAGTGGACGAAGGCCCCGTCTTTGCAATGTGCATGGCAAGCTCTGGAGATGAGAGGACATTAGGCAAGTGGATTCAGGGTCTTCAAGAGACCAATCCTATTCTGGGAAAAGTTCCTGTTCTCTTTCGGCTGATCTCGAGCCCTCAAGAGCTGGCACCTGTGGAGATTAAAGAGAAAGAAAAAACACCGGAAGTGGATGAAGAGGTTGAAAACGAACCAGTGCATCGTAGAATGGAGCAGTAATGTGTCTTGGTGGAAGGGGGGCCCGGGGGGACAGTACCTGGAAATGCACAGGTGGATGCAACAACTCTTACATAGGACGTGAAGGACAATATTAAGTGACTTGATTTCAGGTAATATTCTTTGCACTGGAACATCACCCATGGATAGAGAGTGGCTCCTCACCAGCTCACATGGGCAGGTTTTTAAAAAAAAAAAAAAAAAATCTTATGAATAATATAACGTTTGCCAGTTTGCGAGAATTTACCTGTATCGTAATACTGTCATCACACCCACCCAAAATAATGGTTATAAAAAAAACTTTTAAAGTGTATAAGTCACCTAAAGGTGCATTAATTAGTAGAAAAGAAATCTACCTAAAGTAAATCAGTCTACCTTAGAAGGTACTCTTTGCTTTGGCCATTTTTGGACACATATTTAAAGGAACACTATAGTGGTAAAATCACTATTCAGGTCGCTGCCCCCCCCCCCTCTTTTTACATGAAAAAGGTAATTTTACTCACCTTGTATCTACACATCTGTGACTAAGATCAGCAAATTTGACTGTCTCGGCCAATCTCATGCTTTCCCATGGGAAAGCAAACACCGCTCTGGCAATCAGCATTTCCTTGTAGAGATGCATTGAATCAATGCACCTCTATGGGGGAGAATCTAGCGTCTCCATACAAAGTGTGGAGACAATGAATGTGAGTGTTGCACACTGTACAGCACTGGACTAAGAAGCACCTCTAGTGGCCGTCTGAGTAAATGCCACTAAAGAATGTAACTAGCCACAAATGTAAACACTGCCATTTCACAGAGAAGGCAGTTTTTACATTGAAAAGCCTGCTTGGACAGGCTACAGACACCAGAACATACATATGAAGACATATTAAGCTGTAGTTGTTCTGGTGACTATAGCCTCCCTTTACTACCTACACCCTCCATTCCGTGTGTTTTTGTTTTTTTTTCCTTTATGGAACAAAGTAAGCAGCCAGTCAGGAAGAGAGGGGTAATAAATGTTGATACATAGTATGCTTTATTGGCATGGTTTGTTACAATATTAAAAATATTCACCAATATTATATTATGTTTTTGCAAAGTAAAGAAGAGATCAGTTTAAATATGATCGTTATTATTTGAAGCTCCATTCTTTATTTTACAAATGACCTTAAAGTTATTTCACTTAACGCCTAAATAAAATCCCAGTTTGAGCTGATTTGCTTCTCTCGCAGTTATTTTAGTCTGAGTCTCCCATTCAGATATTGGTTCGTTAGGATTTGGACTTTAGTGAACAGTCTTTTTTTTCTGACTCTTGACATATTCAGCCATTAATCAAATTACACAGCCGTGCACAACAAATTAACGTTCTGATAGCACTACTAGGAAGAGGTACACATAAGATTGTACGTGTAAAGAGATTCTGCAATGTTTGCTAAAAGTTTCATTATGCTAAAAAAATAGAAATTTGACAGATGCTCTTTTTTGATGTTGTGTTTTGTTTCTTCATAAAGAGAGCTTTTGGATTATTTTTAATTGTGTATTAGAATGCTTATAATCCCAATCTGCCCATTTAAAAATAGAGGACTATTTATTTGTAAATAACATTTGTCTAATTATTTAAACTGCATTGCTTTATTTCAAATGTTTAATTCAAAGCTCGTGTCAAAAACCACTGAAGGAAAAGGTTCCGATTTGATTAAAGGCAAAAAACAAACAAACAAACAAACAGTGTGTATTTATACAAAGTAGAGTTTTACCATTTGAAGTGCTGATATCTCCCCAAACTACAAATTACTTAAAAATGTCATCCTCAAGGTGTTACCATACATATAAATCTTTTTTGAGTAAACATTTAGCACTGGCATTTAATAATGCGGTTCAAATAGACAGTTTCCCTGAAGAGATGATGAGGGCAAATGTGCTTCCCATCCTGAAACAAGGAAAGGATCCAACAGCCGTTTTTAATTAATGTCCCATCTCTTTAATAAATACTGATGTAAAAAAATGTCTTCCATTTTAGCAGATCGCCGTAAGGTAATTATTTAAAACTCTAATCCATAACAACAAAATTGGTTTTATTCCAGGCAGATGGGTGGGGTCCAACTCGAGAAAAATCATAGATATTATCGATAGTGCAAGTAAGAAACATATTCCCCTCATGACTATAGCAGTTATTGCTGAAAAAGCCTTTGATAGGCTGAACTGGAAGTTTTTGGAATTAACCTTAGAAGCTTACGGAATTGAAGGGTGGATGTTAAGAGGAATTATGGCCCTATATAAAAACCCCTCAGCCAGAACAGTAGGCCCAAATGTTTGCTCAGACTGGGTAGCAATAAAAAATGGGGTTAGGCAAGGCTGTCCACTCTCACCTTTGCTATATATACTCTCAATAGAACCTCTAGCGGAAAACATCAGGAAAAACGTAGCAATAAAGGGCTATAGGACAAGAGACAAAGAATTTAAAATCAGTCTATATGCAGACGATATTCTTTTGTCAATTACGGATCCTATAAAGCTTATAGTCAATTAGCTAATTATAAGTTAAATAATGAAAAGACTATGGTGATGAGTATTGGACTAGAAAAGAAGTCTAGAGAGGAGATTAGAAACAAATATGCTTTTGCTTGGACATCACAGAAACTCGAATGCTTAGGTGTATCCATTACTAAGAACATTGAGATAATGATGGAGGAAAATTTTCTAAAGTTATTAAAATCTACAAATCTATTACTTAGAGATTGGAGAAATATGCAGATAACATGATGGGGCTGTATTAATGTCATTAACTCCTATATTATCCCTAAATGGAATTGTTTATTTCAAATGATTCCCCTTAAGATTCCAGATAGCTGGTTAACAATATTGCAAAATAATCTGGAAAATGTTATTAACAAGGGTAAGAAAAATAGAATCAGTAGAAATATTCTATCTTTAAAAACTATGGATGGGGGATTAGATTTCCCCAACATAAGATTTTTGTATTGGGCAAATGTGCTCACTCATATATATATAGGTCCCAGATGGTAACAGCCAAAAATGAGTTGTTTTAAAATTGAAATGGAAGATCTCGGGCTGAAAAATACAGAAAGTATGATATGGAACACGAAAACTATGAGTAAAATGGGGATTGATATCAATAATAGGATATGGGCCCATCTGGTGCCATTTTGGGAGGAAATTACAAGAAAAATAGGTCTTAAATACGCAATTGTGGACTCCTTAAATCTGGGGATAATAGAAGCAAATGTGAAAGATATCGCTCTGGATAGATGATGAGCACGTGGAATAAATAAAGTGTCACAGTACACCTGGACAAGTTAATGACATTTGATGATATTTCACAAAAGTTTCAACTTCCCCAAGTTGAGGCGTTTTCATATTTGAGGCTTAAAGGGAGCCTAGTAACCTGAACAACTTTGGCTTAATGAAGCAGTTTTGGTGTATAGAAAATGCTCCTGCAGCCTCACTGCTCAATCCTCTGCCATTTAGGAGTTAAATCCCTTTGTTTATGAACCCTAGTCACACCTCCCTGCATGTGACTTGCACATCCTTCCATAAACACTTCCTGTAAAGAGAGCCCTATTTAGGCTTTCTTTATTGCAAGTTCTGTTTAATTAAGATTTTCTTATCCCCTGCTATGTTAATAGCTTGCTAGACCCTGCAAGAGCCTCCTGTATGTGATTAAAGTTCAATTTAGAGATTGAGATACAATTATTTAAGGTAAATTACATCTGTTTGAAAGTGAAACCAGTTTTTTTTTCATGCAGGCTCTGTCAATCATAGGCAGGGGAGGTGTGGCTAGGGCTGCATAAACAGAAACAAAGTGATTTAACTCCTAAATGACAGTGAATTGAGCAGTGAAATTGCAGGGGAATGATCTATACACTAAAACTGCTTTATTTAGCTAAAGTAATTTAGGTGACTATAGTGTTCCTTTAAGTATTTTTTGCAGAAACATCTAATTGTTGCGACCAAAAAAAACCTAAAGTTGTTACAATCTCTTTTTTCAAATGAGATTATTCCTAAGGTTTTAGCAAAAGCAATAGAAGTTATTAGAAATATTGATTACTCGATTTGTTTCCCTCAAAAGCTTAAATGACAAAAGGATCTCAATTGTTTATTAGATCAACAAGAATGGTGTAAAGCTATCAATAATACTTGTAAACAAGTTGAATGCCTAAATCTGTTAGAAACCAACTATAAAGTTATGTACAGGTGGTACTTGGTCCCAAGTAGGCTATCCCAGATGTATCCAGGAGTTTCTTCTAGATGCTGGAGATGTGATAAAGAAGAGGGATCATTCCTCCATATATGGTGGAGTTGCTCAGGTATTCAGACTGTTATCAATCTAAATGCTTAGATTCATTAGTGACATAGTGGGAGTTGAGCTGGATAGGAAACCAGAAGTGGTTTTGTTGCATATGCACTGGCCAAATATGTCAAACATGAACCGGTGTTTTATAATTCATTGTTTTATTGCATTTAACATTATTCTTGCACCGAATTGGAAATCTAATCAAGAAGTTACTTGGGATCTTATTAGAGAGCAAATTGGTGTTCAGGTGAGGATGGAAAGAGATTTGAGTATACCGTACTTGAATTTCCAAAAAAGGCACCATCTCTGGCAAGGCTGGGCCAATAAAATAGAAATAGGCTTGTAAATTAAAGCTACATAACGCTACCTGAGCTCAGACAAACTCCCCCCCTTTTCCCGACCCTGCAGATAACAATGTTTAATGTTATGTATATTTGTGTGTTTGTTTAATTAGTAACTAATGTACAGATGATGTACTATTGGAGCATGATGTTCGTCTGTTTATTGATATATGTGTCTTTGTAATAAATTTAATAAAATTTAATAAAAGAATTTATTTAAAAAAAAAAAGTGTTTTTAATAATTTCTGTGTTTACTCAGTTATTCTATAAACAGACAGGTCAGTGTTTAGAAAAAAAAAAATCAATTCCCAGTATCTGCATTCTGTACAGTTTGTTCAAGGTGCATGGTTGTATGTGAAATAATG